CCTTTAACGGCCATACTAGATTCTTTCATGGACAATATTTGTTCACAAGTGTAAAAACAGCTCTTGATTATGCAAGCTGTGTGCAATACTTGGCGAAAAGCACTGTAAGGCTGTAAACTTTATGGTCATATGTTTATGTAGTGGATTCCTTCCTACCAGTTCAACAAACGGACGGCGTGCGCCACATGTGGCGCACGACTATTTCTTTTGTTTTTGGAATGTTTCTAGCAATCTTAATATACCCGTATATACTCTCAGCAATGTGGAATAACATATCTTCCCAGGACCTGGACGAGTGGATTTTTGACAAACCTACAATAAATTTTACATACATTTTGTCTTAATTTACATAAGTTTACTATTTGATGGTGGCTTACCATGGTTCACACGTCCGACCGCTTCCCTGAATCTACCACAACAACCAAATAAATATATCCTTGCTCGGGGTTGTTGTTCCGCATTTTTCCATGATTTCACCTGCAGCTTCCATTCATTCTTGCACCCTAGTTTTTAAAGCGGAAAGGCGGGGTACGAAGTTGTCGCCAACGAAATCTCTTCTTTTGGATGATGAGACAAGCACACCTACAATACCGCTACTAATTTTTGTTCAATCGACGGAATGCGACGCAGTCAGTCCGTCGCAACCGTCGCCTCGCCATAACTCGTGAACAAATGGACCAGGTCATTCGAAATTTATACCACTGGATAGCCCTCACGAAGAATTCAACGGTATAGAGGACTATTGAGTTTCTCTGAATTTTCAGCTTCATTCTCATGAAATTTATCAAATTACCTGAGGCTGACTCATTAGCGGGCGTCGCTCGCTATAATTATAACCAGAGGGGAAAAGGTATTAATGGTAGTATTTAGCGAGTAATAAAGTTATTATTTTACTTCTATGTAAAGTGAAAAAGCGACTGTTGTGTTCTTCAGATAGTGCTCGTCATTTTGGTACCGAATTCATCCCAGGTGGGTCAGCTTTGATAAAAGTCATTTTTGCATGGAAAAGCTCCTTTGGGCCGAAGTATAGCGAAAACTAATAGGATCTGAGCCTTGTCACTTAACTTTCCCTTTTCTACAGAGCCAACCCCGTTGACGAGAAGTTTTTGAAGTTCCTACCTAGCACTGGCTGTCAATTTCGAGGTCTTGAATCAGAGAGAAATTCACATTTTTTCATGGAAAGAAAATAGTACAAAAAGTATACCATTGTATTCCTCGTTAAAAATGCTTTACATTAATATAAATTACAAATCACAAAATTCTCTGTGGTTTTTTCGAGTTTTATCGCAGCCATCTCTCCTGCACTAAACCATTCTGCCCAATTAGGCGTCTCGCCGAGCTGCTGACCTCCGGATCTCTCTCAATTACCAGAGGGCTTTTGTCGCACCTCAAGATCAAGAGAATGTGAACTGCTATTATTTTTCTATGAACAGCAAATGGTCGAACTTAGCTAATCAGAATAGATCACTGTGTGCCACGCTTCTGTTGGGAGACCCATTGAGTGAAGCATAACTCATTTTCTATACAAGTACCACGTAATCGGAACCCGTTACCTCACTTTTACTAGGTTCAAAACCACGGTATAACACTATCATGATTGCCCCCCAGTTCCCATTTCACGGGAACCAACTGGGGCGGTACTACTAAGAACCGGCCCACCTCACGCGAAGCGCACAGTGCTATTACGTGGTACTTGTATAGAAAATGAGTTATGCTTCACTCAATGGGTCTCCCAACAGAAGCGTGGCACACAGTGATCTATTCTTGATTAGCTAAGTTCGACCATTT